TGAAATACAAGTGCCAAATGCAATGCTTAACACTAGGGTGTTACAAGGTTTGGCGCAACCTGGTTTTAAATCTGCTCGCGACATCTTCAACTCGAGTGCTTCTGAATGGAGAGCCCAGAGATGTAATCAGTCACCAACGAGGCCACCACCAAGTAGACCCCCTCTACAACCTCTATCTCAGCATAATCCTATGCAGCACATCTCGGTGTATACTGATGATGTCGCTTTGTTCATCTGGCCGGTTGAGGAAGAGATGGGACTGACAATGGAAATTCTTCATAATTTTGGAGAGGCATCTGGTCTTCACTGTAACCTGCAAAAGAGTTGTGTTGTTCCTATCAGATGTGAACCATCGAACTTGGAGATGGTGTCATATATCCTGCCATGTACGTCTGCTGCTTTTCCTTGCACTTATTTGGGGTTACCGGTCTTGAACAAACAATTCAAGAAGGCTGAGTTATTATCATGGATAGAAAAAATTGGTGATAAATTGCCAGCTTGGAAGGCTTCTGTCATGAATATAGCTGGTAGAGTTACTTGGAAGGGACAAAAACAAGTAAATGGAGGTTCTTCCCTAGTCGCTTGGGATAAGGTGCAGCGAGCGACCCCTGGATTATGGTGGCCTTGGTATTCTTAACTTGGTGTTCATGGGTTGGGTGCTCCAAATTCGATGGTTGTGGCTCAAAAAGACATACCCCAACAGAGCCTTGGTCGGTCTGGACATACAGGTTCGCCCAAATGCCACGGCCATGTTCATCATTGTGATGGAGACTCAGGTCGAAGATGGGCATAACACACTTTTTTGGTCAGATCGATGGCTTATGGGTTGCTCGCTACAAGATATCACACCGAGTGTCGTGGCCACTATACCGTAGAATACTCACACACGTCGCACAGTAGCAGAAGCATTACAAGCTCATGATTGGCCAGCAGACATCAGCGGAGGACTATCTTTGGTTGGTTGGTTTCAATTTTTTTTAGTTGTGGGATATCCTCCAGGAGACAATACTAACCCATGATGGAGATATCCACCTTTGGAGACTAGAAGAATCAGGTCGTTTTCCTCCAAGTCTGCCTATTAGGCCTTCTTTAATGGTTCAATTACTTTCGAGCCTTAGCGTCGAGTTTATAGATCATGGGCTCCAGTGAAATGCAAAATCTTCTTTTGGATGGCAATAAGGAATAGGCGCTTGACGGCTGACAGACTTGCAAGGAGAGGACTTCCACATCCCAGTCACTGTCCATTTTGCGGCCAGGAGGAGGAGAACATCCAACATCTCCTAACAACTTGTGTGCTTGCACAAGATTTCTGGTACCAGATTGTATCCACGTTGGGCCTGCAAGATTGAGTACCTAGCTACCAAGAAACTGTCGAAGGGAATGAAGGGGCTAAATACGATTATTAACCTAGGGGCATGGATCCTTTGGAAGCATTGGAATGCTTGTGTCTTTGATGGAGCTCCACTGAGGATTTCTAGCCTCTTGCAGGCTTTCAAAGAAGAGGAGAAGTTGTGGTGTCTCGTAGGTGCATGAGGCCTACAGACTCTTAGTCTAGGTCATGGCTTGGGCTAGTTAAACTAGTTTGGGAGGTTTTAGGTCAAGTCTCTTCCTTGGGGTTTTTTACTCAGTGCAACCTATTTTGTTTCATTCACCCCCTCATGGCTCGGTCCCGATTGAGGTGGTGGTGTTCATGTAAGAGGCCGGTCCTTTTCTCTGTACTAGGTAGCGTGCCCATGCGTTGCTATGGGATAACTAAATCTTTTGTACTAAAAACACACGGATCGCACGATAAGATAACAATACTGTTAAATTAAATACCGACATTAAAGTGACATTTAATTCAAAAGGCAAAGTTCATGAAATTAACACAGTCACGGAGAGCGCGGCGTCGTAGGCTCACAAACTCTACTGTATAGACTTTTTCGTGATATGGCTAAGATAATATTTTAAATCGGCAGAAAGAATTCTCCGACATCCATTTCTTTCATGCGCCAATAAATCCTTGAATAAATTCCACTGCATCTCCATATAATCCTGTACACACAGGTTCGAGTATATATGTAAATATTAGTGCCTGTCACATGGATAATACTGTGTGTCTTAAAAAATCTCTCATAAAAGTTTAAAACAAAGTATGTTATACTCACCGTATAAATATGTGTGGCTTTAGGACTATTCCACACAGACATATATTGTAGAATAAGGAATCCACTTGAGTGCCTGTTCCAAGATGTTGAATTAGGTGTTGTAATTCTTAATTTCGACACATTTTTCAGGTCAAGGCAACTAATGGTGACACTTTTCTTAGTGGTGCATAATTTTATGGTGCACCTCTTGACTATCTGAGTAAGGACAAGTTAGCACTGCAAAGGCTCAGAAAAGCTACTGAGAAGCCCAAGGTTGAGTTTTCCTCCATTATGCATACTAAAACCTATGTCCCCGTTTATCATTGCCGATGCTTTTGATGCAAAGCAATTCAACATTACCATGATTAGATATAAGTTTGAGTCTCTTGTGAGCAATCTCATAGAGGGACTCTCATCCTTTATGTGATCTGCCTCAAGGATATTAGCAGGACGATGGACCCATGTTGGAATGTCGCACCATAAAAAAAGTTGACAAGAGAAAAGTATCTAATATATTTTACCAGTAAAATATCTAACATTGGTACACCAAGCTCATGAATTGAGACTATCAGTAAATAAATAAGGCTCGAGCTACTTGAAACAAGATTGGTACAGACAAATGGCTAACTATGCTAAAAAACAATGGCATCCAATGTGCAGGCACACAATATCAAAAAATAGATGATTAACTATATAACAAGAACGTCTGCAGCATCATGAACTATGGTTGTGTAACATCATGAACGGTGAGCGATGGAGGACGGTCAACGTCAATCGGTCTACATCTGCGAAGACGACGGCTCGGGTGCACGACTCAGGTGGCGTCGAGGTAGCGGCGCGGTAGCCATGGACGACGGTTGGGGTGCATGGCGTGGGTGAATGGCGGGGACTACGGCGCGGACGTCGTGGAGGCGGCGGTGTTTCCAGGTGCACGATGCGGGCGAACGGCGAGGACGACGGCGCAACGTCGTGGAGGCGGCAGTGTACGTGGCGCACGGGGAGGATGACGGCGCGGGCGCACAGACCAGACGATGGAGCAGGTCGTGGAGGGGAGATCGCACGGGGAGGTGATCTTGCGACGACCTTGCGGCGATCGATGATGTAGCCACAGGTGCATCCACTGGTAGGCAGACGGTGGATGATCCATTGCTATTGCTTCTCCACTACACGACGAGGAAGAAGTAGGGGCGGCTCGATCGTGTAGGGGCTTGAGGAATGGGGCACGCGATGATCGTCTCCATGCAGCGACCAGTGACGCGCTTGAGTCCTACCAAGAAGCGACAATGGTCTTCCGTGTTTGTAGCGCATGCAAATCAGGGTCAAGAATTTCATATTTGTGGCACGAGGGTGGTATGATCGAGCGTGAGACGTGGGTGATCGCTTTCCTTGTTTGAGGCAATTAGGGTCAAGACTTTCCGTATTTGTAGCGCATGCAAATCAGGGTCAAGACTTTTCGTGTTTTCTTCGCACCAAAGGACGCAGCATGCAGGAGATGTCGTGGGATCGCAGGCGTGGGCAGATGGACGAACAAAAACAAATGTCGCACCAAAAAATATTCACACTTTGTTCTTTTTAGTTGTAGGAGATAATACAAAGATGCGTAGCTCTCATGCTCATTCGAGAGAAAAAATGGTTTACCTTTTTTCAGTATGTATTGCAAAGTTTAATAACTTGCCGGCTTCAAAGGAGTCTATAATTACTTAATTAGTACAAATAAAATGATTTAACATATTATTGTGGAAACTGTTCTCATTTAAACAAAAGTTAATATAATTTTACTGGCTCAGGTCAGTATAATTATGCGCATGTCAACTCAAGATTTTGAATACTTGACTATCAATATCATTCAAAATATATACATTGGAAGTATGGATGATATTATTTTTGTATGCACACATTAATAGTTTATAAATTTATTTGATTTATAAACATACCACCAAAAAAATTGTAGTAAAATTATTCTAAAGGCCATTTCACCATTGTCAAAGCTGGAGGTGGGCGCTCGGACAAGGTCGAGGTGTGCAGGGGCTATTGGCTCGAATTGGGACCGTGGGTACGGTTTATATAGGCTGCAACTGCAAGGTGTGCATGATGCTAGGGTTAGCCCCTCGTGTGTTTTCTTTTGTTTGACTAGTTGAGTGCCCGTGCGTTGCTACGGTATACAAAACATCTCATAACATATAGCCACACGAGTAGAAATCTCATACGAGAAAAAGTACATGTTAGAAATAATATAATCATCAGGTTTCACATTATATATAATTTGTACATCCAATCAATAACATGTCAACAAGTATACACTGCTTGTCTCCCATTGTTTTCAGACTTCCTCTATTACCAGAAATATAGATGGATACAACAAATGTCAAATTAAGGACACAAATCTACCCTACTAATGCACTATCTTTTTTTTCCTACGTCCACACAAGAAAACGACCCCCGCTGAGATGTCCCCTCTAAGTCCACCCCAAAAAGTGTACCCAGGAAAATAACACATTTCAAACGAACCGTCCAGATGCACTCTAAGCCTTCTCTCTCCTTACTCATTACACAATCGAGGGCCTAGATTGAGTGTATCAAATCTCCTCATTCTCCCCCACACCCACATCTTGCAGCCCCACCGAGTATTACGAACGCCACGCCGCCAAAAATCACGGAACTTCCCGGACACGCACGGAGGCGGAGGAGGCACTGCTACTCCTGCCGCGGTCGGCGGAGGAGGCGAGTAGGCGGAGGAGGCGCTGCTACTCTTGCCCCGGCCCCGACTGACGCTTCACACCACCGCAAGGTAAGCGCCCTACCATCTAGAGATCGATCGAGACCGCAGATTTCTAGCCTCTGAAAGTCCCCGCTCCCGTGCAGCCGGGCCCTTCCATGGCGAGCCACCGCCACCCTCGCCGTTCGAGTGGGAGGCCGCGGCTCATCGAGGAGGAGGTCCGCCGCGAGCTCGCCCGCTTCCATGGCGGTTTCGGCGCCGTCCCGTTCGTCGGGCCCGACGGCCCCACCATCGTGCCGCCACCACCCCCAGGCCCGTTCTTCATGCCCGATGGCCCATTCATGCCGCCAATGCCGCTGCCCCAGATGCCGGTGGGCATGCATCCAAACTGCCCGCCACCGGCTTTGTTCGGGTCGTGGGAGGGGTTCGGCCCTCGGCGGCTCCCAGGATTTGGGCAACCGATGCTCCCCAATGAGGCGAGAACGAGGCCCCTGCCGCCTCCGAAGCCGAGGCATCAGCTCCAGCTGCGCGAGATCGCGCCCAGCGAGAGCTCTGAGGTTTGGGAGCACACTAGCCGTTCATAGTGCGCATGCATGACGCATGTTCAGATTCTTTTCCGCATTTGGCGTTAAAGGCGCTACTGGATTACTACTTTTGAAATTTTTCTTTTTCAATTTCTTATTGCACTTCAGTGTTATTCTCGCTTCAAAAACATGACGTACTTGCTTTTCTCGTCATTTAAGTGCCAATGGTAGCCATTTTCTGTAAGTGAGGACAATCTAGAAAGAACATTGCCCTTAGATCAGAAGAGTACTTGAACTCTGAAGTCAAATATTACCATTTCGACAGATCTGGTGAACTTGTATGGAGAACTAGAGAAGATCGAATATTCCCTTTGGAGAAAAAAAGAATGGTAGTGATAGAAGTGAACAAGCTTTGATTCCTGTGACCACCGTTTGTTTTAAGTTGAGAACTATAAAATTTTTAGCACCGAATCAGGAAGGGTCAGATTAAGATGACACAGAAATTTATTCCCTGTGGATTTCAGTTTCTTAATTATGCAATAGTTTCCTTGTCACCTTAATCTTTTTTTCCTGCCTTTTCATTGGTTGCTGATGCATCTTTCTGTTGATTGTTTTGTGCGGTTGTGCCCATGCTGCCATGCATTCCTTTAGTTGGTGTCACATAATTCAATCAGGCTCCAGTGAGTTCTACATTTGGTTTGCTACATATGCACAATGCACCTCGATTTCACTAATTCTTCCTAATTTTTTTAGGTTCTTTCATCAGAAATGAAGGTTTCTGGTGTGAAGAGGAAGGCAGATGCGAGTTCTGCAACTACTAAACCAACAAAACTACAAACTGCTGCCAGGGACTGGAGCTGTGCACTCTGTCAAGTGAGCGCAACCAGTGAGGCTGGTCTGAATCAGCATCTTGAAGGGAAAAAGCACAAGGCAAAGCTGGTTCAATGTGGAGCGATCAAGGTGAACGATACTAATAAAAGTGGTTTGCAAGTAACTACTGGGAACAACAATGGTGCAGGCCCAAATGATGCACCTAAGAAAATCCACATCCTGGTCGATGGAGAGATGCATCAGGTTGTTGAAAAAAGCAACTATGTATGGTGTGAGCGCTGCAGGGTCAGTTGTACCAACGCCGCTGCCATGGCTGACCATCTGCGGGGCAAGAAGCACAGTTTATTGAATAAAGTTTGGACGTCAATAAAAGCTGTGAGAATGAACAAGGAAGTTAAGGAAGATTCAGCTGCTACATGTGAGACTGAGAGAAAGGTAACTGAAAACGGCTCTACCGGAATTCCAGAGGAACATAAGGAGGAAGACACATACATGACCAGTGAATTGAGTGGAGATGGTTCTTTCGAAATTCCTATGGAAATGAAGGAAACCACTGACATGGCCGAAGAAGTAGATGCAAATAGTCACAATGTAATTCCTGTGGAAATCAAGAAGGAAGACACTGACACTGCTAGCGAAGTTAACGGAAATTGTGCTGGGGGAACCAAGCAGGAAGGCACTGACGTGGACGCGGTCATGGATGTAAATAAGAACTTTCTGTTGAAATTCCATCAGAAATCAAGAAATAAGGCCATTGTGGAGAAAACAAGGACGTTGTGGAGAAACGTCGTAATGAAAATTATATTAAATATAAATATTAGAAGTGTACTTATCTTTGATAGAAATCTGGTCGATGGCGATAAAGTTGTCCGGTCCTCGTGCTTTTTGGCCTGTTGTGACGGTGGTCGCGGTTGTCATAGCGCCGTTCTTAGTGGCAATCATCATTGCGACGTGGTCTGGTGGTTGAGGTGGTCGGAGCTCGGCGGAGCCGCTCGGGACGTGGTCGACGTGGTCCGTGGTCGACGTGGTCGGAGCTCGGCGGAGCTGCTCGAGACGTGGTCGACGTGGTACGTGCTCGACGTGGTCGGAGCTCGGTGGAGCCGCTCGGGACGTGGTCGACGTGGTCCGTGGTCGACGTGGCTGCTCGATCAGTTTGGTGGTCGGAGGGCATGTACCTAGGTCCATCGCATGGGGAGGCAAAAGCCCTCGGACATGTCCAGCCGAGGTCGGGCGCAGTTGGAGATCTTCCTTGCTTGCGTGAAGGTTATGGAGTAGACTGATGGCGATTTAGTAGATTGTATGTGGTCTTCATATTTGGAGTCGGAGAAGCACACGGAGTCCTTCCAGGTTGTCGCTATACATTGTGTATGAATACATATATAACACGAACACCCATAGTTGGCCCACTTGCTTGTACTCCGTCTTCTTGCATGGCTGCTTGACGTGATCTTCATCGTGCATGTAATGGCAAGCCATCATGCAAATCTGGTGTCGTAGCTCCATGTGGATGCCGCGTGGAGACCAAAAAAACCAGACGCTTGAGTCGAAACAGGACCATTGAAAGCTCTAGTTTGGTTTTGGTAAATTGATGAAACCCTAAGTGCTAACCTAGTTCATCAAGTGATCATGAGATAGGTAGCACACTTCAAGTAGAGAAGCAAATGAAGATCATAACATGACAATGGTGATAGCATGGAGATGATCAAGGGCTTAAACTTGAAGAGAAGAAAGAGAAAAACAAAAAGCTCAAGGCAAAGGTATAACTTGTAGGAGCTATTTTATTTTGGTGATCAAGACACTTAGAGAGTGTGATCACATTTAGGTTTGATAGCCGTACTATTAAGAGGGGTGAAACTCGTATCGGAATGCGGTTATCAAAGTGCCACTAGATGCTCTAACTCATTGCATATGCATTTAGGATCTAGTGGAGTGCTAACACCCTTGAAAATATTTGTGAAAATATGCTAACACATGTGCACAAGGTGTTTGTAGGGTTGAGATGGGTTTGGGATTCGCCAGGAGCTTTGGCCGGGAAAATGAAATGTCTATTTTCTCTGCTGCGGATGCAAAATTCTTGGTGGGTGGCACACTTAAGCAAGGGTGAAGAAGTAAGAGTTGAAATGGAGTTGATCGAAATGATCTTTGGCGTCGGTCTCATCGACGGACATTTGATCACTCAATGACCCGACGCTGAAAAAAAGCTGCGTCCGGTCATGTTATCGAGCAACCTGATGGCTAGGGTTGAGCACGGACGGCTGGCTGCGTCCCGTCAAGAGTGGACGGACGCGTCGGTCAAAAAAAAACATGCCTCGGGGAGCTTCTTTGAAGCGGCCGGACGCTTGGGCTTCAATGTCCGGTCAGTTTTTGAGCGTCCGGTCAACAGCGACCGTTGAAATCTGACGAACAACATTTGAAGCGAGGGGACACATGGCGTGAATCACGTGACGGACGCCGAGGGCGGCGTCCGATCACCCAGCGTTAATGCCCAGTGAAGGGGTACAATGGCTCTATTTCACTAGGGCTCTATTTATAGCCCCATGGCGGCTCAAGGGAGCTCTCTTGCACATTTTATTGACATAGCAACCTTGTGAGCCTAGCCAAAGTTCTCCCACTCATTTCCATCATAGATTAAACATCTTTGTGAGATTGGGAGAGAATCCAAGTGCATTGCTTGAGTGATTGCATCTAGAGGCACTTTGTGATTGTGTTTATTTCATGGATTTCGCTTGTTACTCTTGGTGGTTGCCGCCACCTAGGCGGCTTGGAGCAGCAAGGATCGTTGAGTGGAGGAGGTGATTGTCTCCGACTCCGATCGTCAGTGATTGTGAGGGTTCTTGACCTTTCCCGGCGGAGCGCCAAAAGGTACTCTAGTAAATTGCTTGTGGCTTGTGTGATCCTCATCTTGTGTTGGTTGTGCGGCACCCTATTGAGGGTTTGGCGAGTGATGCCAATCAGTGCGTGAACCTCCAAGTGAGTGAATCGCCACAACGAGGACTAGCTTGCCGGCAAGCAAGTGAACCTCGGTAAAAATCATTGTGTTCATCATTGATTCCGAGGTGATTGGTCATCATTGTTATTCATCTTCGTGATTGATTGGTTCATTCATCTACACGGCGGTATAACCCTCTTGATCACTCTCTTTACTTTACCGCAAACTAGTTGACAAGCTCTTTAGTGTAGCTAGTTGTGAGAGCTTGCATGCTTGGTTGGTGTGGCTCTTTAGTTAGCCTTTGAGAGCACACTAACATAGGGTAGTGTCATTGCTCTTGTGTGAATTGACACTATCTAAACTAGAATTGTGGTAGGTGGCTTGCATTTTTGAGTAGGCTAGCGCAACACTCGCTTCGCCTCATAATTGTCTAACCATTTGGTTAAGTGGTGTTGTAGAAATTTTTATTAGGCTATTCACCCCCCCTCTAGCTATTAGGACCTTTCAACCATCTACGCCACCGGGCCGGATCGAGATCGATCCGATCGACTCTTGTGATATGTCATAGATGTTAGGGCTGCTGCTTGTCTTAGTGCACCGTTACTTCTTGATACTCCTCAATCCGAATCATGTTGACAAAGTTGCATGGCTTTGGCCGAGGTCGATGTATAAAACACAGATCCGAGCAGCGTTGTATATTGTACGCGTAGTTGGAAGCAGTGTTTCGCAGGCCGTAGGGCTGAGCCTGGTAATTCTCCATCAAGGCTTCACACTCGGAGAGCCGGAGACCCGTTCTGCGGGGCTGGTCGGCGACGAGCGGGCGCCCGCCGAGGAGTAGGCGTGACCACGAGATCCGTACCAAGTCATGCAGGACGACTGGCCCGAGCTGGTTGGGTAGATCTATTGTGGGGAGTGGTTACCTGCTCGGTAGGTTGATTTTGAATCAAATCCACCAGAGCTAGGGTTTCAGCAAGCTTGGTGCCGACCTGATCGATGGAGTCGAGCAGGTCGGTGTTGTCAATCTGCCTCCCTTTGTAGCGAGGAAGCGAACGACGGGTTGTCGGCGTGGCTGAAGACGATGCTGGTGTGGCCGGAGCCAGATCCAACGTGCTCGGAGCCGTAGCCGATGCTGGTGAAGCAGTGGTCGACGCAGATTGGATCTGCGCCTCCTCCGTGATCATGGCGATGAAGTTGTCGGAGCCAGTGGTCCAGGTGATCTGGCCGATGGTGAACGTGAGGCCGTTCGGCGTAGCCATGGAGCCGGGGATGATGACCATCTTGTTAAATGCGGAGAGCGAGACGCACACCCCCTACCTAGCGCGCCACTGTCGACGAAATATGGTCGACAGTCTACCTAGGGGTATGCCCAAGGTAGTAGATTATCGGCAGACAGGTGCGCAAGTTACGAACGAGATGGTGACATAAGACAGACACGAGGTTTTATCCAGGTTCGGCCGCCGTGAGGGCGTAATACCTACGTCCTGCGTCTGTACTTCAACATGAATCGTGCTGATAGTTTCGCAAGGACATTATTATATAGGGAGTTACTAGAACACTACCGGTGGATCAGTGGTCGCAAGGTGTGGCAGAGAAGAAAGAAACTGCTAGGACAGATTGGAAGAAAAATATATATATATATAAGACATGAGGGAATGTATGTTTGAAGGGTTATCATCAAGAAATGGCATATACACCTACATTCCACACTAATGCTAGAATATTCAATCTCGCCATGGCACTATCAAATTCTAGGTGGAGCGAAAATATTTATTTTTGGGAGCGAAAATACCTAAATATGTAATAAAGGTTTTGGTCATAAATTTGGTAAGTGTCATAAAATTTGGTTCAACTTTTCTATATAAAAAACAGTAATTTAATTTATGTACATCAAATAAACAACTGATCTTCTCCGTCAAGAAATTGGGAGGCTTTCTTGTCTATAATTTCATAAAGTCGTGGGGACGGTGTAAGATTGCCACGGATCACCACTTTGTAAGCATATATATAGTCTCCAACTATATTTCGTACACTACATACAATACTAACATATTATTATATTGTATACCATGCGCTATCTATCATCTACACTAAGGAGGAAGGAATTTTTAAGCGACATTTTGACATCCCGAAGATGTGCAACAAATGATAAAGGACTTACATGCAAATGTAACTTAGGCTACAATATAATAATTGGGTAAAGGTTAAACTACAAAATAACAAATTGGATGTTTTTATAATCATTCTCTAGATAAAACCATTGCGTTAGCACAGGCATTATACTAGTATAAGAAATATAACACTTGTACAAAACACAAGGCAATACCTTTTTATGGAGTTAGGACCTCCATGTAGACAAAAACTAAGGATTTTCTGACATATTAGGAGCTCTGAACTAAGGACTTTCTGATCGCAAACTTAATCTTAGTAGCTCCTGACTAATGTTAATTAACAAAAACTGACATGCCTCGTTAGTAGCCCAATTAAGGATTTTCTGATTGCAAACTTATGTTAGTAGCTCCTGAAAAAAGACAGTACTAAGTAATTGAATAATGCAAATTCATATAGTTGATAATCTTGACCAAAACAAGTGAACCGAATAATGAAATGTATATTTTCATTAGTGCTCGCCACTTATTTGATCTATTCAATGATTGTGATATTGTCAAACCTTCAACAAATTCAGAGTTCTATGCAATGCTAGACCTAAACCGTGATGTCTGCATGACAAACCTTTTGAATTAAACCATCTATATAACGTGCGGAACCCCCACCCGAATTGTGTGGAGCTGCTCCACCAGTGCATGGAGGTGCTCTCGACGCTAATTGTCTACTTACATATCCAAATCAAGTAAATGCACTATTATACAATACAAAGAATGAACTGTTGTATTCTACTTCTCACAATAGAAACTCGTCACACCCTTCTCACAGTAAAAACTTGTTCAGTCATTTTAACAAATACATAGCAGGTAGAATGTGGCTTACACTGCACGGGGCCACAGTACAGCTCGAGCGCTCCTGGGCGCCCTCCCTGCTGCCCGAGACGCCGCAGAAGCTCAGTGGCCAGCCGAACACGCCGCACCTCCGGCAAGCCAGGCGCGGGCGCCGCCCGAGACACCGCAGCAGCTCGGTGGCCAGCTGGCCACGCTGCTCCGACGGGCGGTCAGGCGACAATAATAATCTGTCGATGTTGTACCTCCTTATTGTTGGTGTCTGATTCGAACGAGCTGCAGCATGGTTTGATATCAGTTCTTGAGATAAAGTATACAATAGTGACAAAATGAAATATGGTTTGACTTCACACAGAAACACATGCAGCCACACACGTGCCTACAGAGAACATGTGCCTAGGCTTTCTTGAAAGATCAATAGAAAGCAAGGAATAAATTGGTTTTTCACCATATATGATGGTTTGACAGGATCACTAAAATCACGAATGCCC